TGAAAAATCTAAGCTGGTTTTATCAGGTAGGAATGGATTGCTGCACTAAGCCCTTCGTGAATGGCTGCCTAACCTTCATCTTTGTGCCAGGCTATACAGGAGTTCAAGGAAACCAGTGTGCAGATTATCTTGCTGACACTGCAGCTTTATGTGATGCCCTTGGCCAGTGGCCAGCTATTTTGTGGGGGACAAAAATAAAAGGACCCCCTTTAGCACTTGTTGACACATTGGGCGTACAGTGCTAGACTTAAATTTGTACAGACCAACTGGCACTGGGTGGTGGGATGTTGTTAACATCATGCAGGTTGTCTTTACTTCCCTGGAATTCACCTGATACCCATTTCGGGCTGGGTTGACTTGGGAGCCAAATAATTTTTTTTTTATCTGATTCGATGCAGATTAAAACATAAGATCTTTTGGCTGGCGGACGTGCATCTAATTACTATGCTACTATGCCTCCCACTTTGTGGAGTTGAAAAAAAAAGTTAGTCGTGTATCCTTTACAGGACATTGCAGAGCCAACCCCAGCATTTTTTATTGTTATGGTTTTTCTAGGCAAATTTACATCCAGTAGTTTGCCATTGCTTTCTGGACAGTCGGCTTTTCGATACCACTGTCGAAACCAGCGCAAGGCTGAATCATAAACAGATCATCACAGTGCACTGACGTCAACCCTATAGCCTTCAGTGATTTTTTTTAAGGAGTAGCTACAGATGACAACTTTGATGGCAAAGGGAGCATGCAAAAGCCACGAGATAAACACACAGATGGCCGGACAAAAGGATGGATTCATAACAACAACTCAGACCTGTTGTTGTTGTTTTTCTTCTTAACATCATCATCATCAGTTTCCACTTTTTTTCATTAAGTGTGGAGGGGAGAAAGGTTTTTTTTTCTTTAACAATTCATTGCTATGCTTGATGGGATAGGAATGGCTATTGTCTTTTCGTGTCGATGTAGAAGGTTTTTAATGTCATCAGTCCATATTCTCATAGGGCAGCCTCTTGATTAATGCCAAATCTTTTCACGTGTTGGTAGTTGTTGCTGCTGCATTCTGATGATATGTCTAAATATCTTCTATTTATTATTATTATTTTTATTGTAATAACCCTTAAACAAAGCTAGAGCTGCTTTTGGAAGGATGAGGCAAATCTGGAAATCCAACAGTTACTGCAGAGGAACGAAACTTAGACTCTACAGAAGCATTATTTTGCCAGTTCTTCTTTATGGAGCAGAATGCTGGAGAATGACCAAAAAGGATGCACACAAGCTGTCCACCTTCCACCACACATGTCTACGTAGAATTATCAAAATTTTCTGGCCAGAAACAATCTCAAACACTAAACTACTTCAAATCATAAGCCAAGAAACTCTATAGACAGTACCAAGAAAAGATGAAAATGGCTTGGCCAGGTTATGAGAATGAATCCTGATACACCTGCCAAAACAGCTCTCACATGGATACCAGAGGGAAAGAGAACGAAGGAGCGCCCAAAAACAACATGGAGAAGAACGATGGAGAGTGACCTGAGTGCGGCATCTCTGACATGGAAACATGCACTTAAGATTGCACAGGACAGGAGAGCTTAGAAAGTTCTCTCTGAAGCCTTATGTGCCACTTTGCATAAAAAGAACTGATGATGATGATTCACTCTTAAAAGGGTATTGGCATGTTTGTGGTCTACAGCTAGGTTGCGATATTTGCACCTTTGGGTCCAGCACTTGCAGTTAAGAAAATCCCTAATTAGTCGTCTTTTACTAAATGCTCTTTAAGGGTAATAGGTTTGTTTTCATTTTTCACTTTGAGTGTATTGAGATGAACTGTTCGTCAGTGACAATGGTTCACCTGTGAACGACCTTCTGAACTGTCTGAATATACCATTTGACAAATTGAATTCTTTCACTAGTGAATGTATCAATGGTTCGCTTGTTTAGATACATCAGTTTCTCATATCCTGTCCACAATATACTTACCCAGTCTTACACCATTGTTAACATACACTGCCTGCATCCTTTGATGAATGTCCACTGATTGACACCCTTTAAATAAAGGAAACTAAATGATCGCTTTTTAAGCTTCTTTATTCCTTCAAAGTCAAAGTACATCTGCATGAGAGGCAAGGAACCAACAGTCTGCTTGCAAATGAATCGGCGCTGTGAAATGGATATATAAAAGTGGACGAACAACCAGAAGCGTATTTAGATGGATTTTGGATCAACCCGACCATTTTCTGATTGGTCAGAAACAGAACCTATGCATCATGGGAAGATGAGCACATACTTTTTCATTTATTGCTCAGTACTTTGCACCTCACGAGGCATACCAAGAAGACGATGGAGAGATAACGTCCAAACAAATTTGCAAAAACTTGGGTGTCACCAACGGGAAAGAGAAGGCTAACCAGAGAGATGAGTGAAGGCGGGTGATATCTGCAGCAATGAACCTCAAGGGCGCGGAACGCTGAAGAAGAAGAAGACTTAGCACCTAAATGTGTCAGGATCTTGTTGAAGGCGTGCAATTAACACGCACTGCTGCACGGGTTTCAATGTAAGTAAGTAAGTAAGTAAGTTGTACCCCACCAGGACATCACACAGAGAGATAAATACCCAGTGACACAAAGTGTAACCATTCGGATGAGCATCACCTGTGGAGAGGTCCCTGGAAACCCAGTTCAACCGTTAGGTTTTATTAGGGCCCCCGGCAATAGCCAGGGTAAGGCTTCAAAGTAATGAAAAATTGCACCCCTGCGAGTATGTTGAATAAGGGTTTCAATGAACGCCCCTAATAAGTTAACTTTAACTGTCAGCATATCAAAACGCGTTAATCCATGTCCTCCCCATGTGGGACGCCATTTTTCGTTATTTTGAAGCCCCACCCCGGCTAACAAGCCGGGCCGCCATATAGCTTTCTGGGACCTCTCCACGGGTGATCTTCATCCGCATGGTAGCACTTTGTATCACCTAGTGTTTAAAGCTCTGTGTGATGTCCTGGTGTGTTAAAATTTACTTACTTTCTTAGTCAGCATCTGTGGCTTAAGGGTTATGAATACTGTTTCATAATTCCATAAAAGATGTGCAAATATATATATATATAAAACTAAAGTAGAAGAAATAACTTTTTTTTTTTAAAGTATTTTTCTAAGTAATCAGGACGCAAACAATCTACTGTACAATTTATTGCCATACATATTTCATTGAAACTCGTTATGAGCATAATACAATCATTACATAAACATACTAGGGGGAAAAACCTACACAAAACAAAATGTATTCTGTCAACTTAGTTAAAAAAAATCAGTCTATTTACACTGTATGTGCTACCACGAGAGCAGATCAATGGGCCTGTCCTTCTGTTTGTATCACATGGGAGTATCGCTGTGTATCTCTATTCCAGCGGTTCTCAACCTGCCAGTTGGGACCCTTTTTTTGGGGGGGGGGGGGGAGGGGGTCGAACGACTCTTTCACAGAGGTCACCTAATACCATTGAAAAACACGTATTATTTGAAGTTATGAATTAAAATAGTTTGGGGTTTGCCACAGCATGAGGGAACTGTATTAAAGGGTCGCGGCATTAGGAATGTTAAAAGCCACTGCTCTATTGTGTCAGTGTAAATTACTGCCAGTTCAGGTAAATGTTGCACAAATTCCTGAGAATTTCAGAGTTTAACACAGATTTATATTTAACCAGGTATCAAAAATTACTCTTTCAATATAAAGTGATTAATTGTGTGATATTATTTAGTTGTACAGGAATTGTGGATAGAACAAACTAACAGTTAACATCCACAAGAACTCATCAGCAGACTCAACAGAAATCAACATACAACAATTTTCCGTCTACGAACAGGACACTGCAGGCTTAACTACCACATGCATAAAATCAGGATTCTACAGTCCCCACAGTGTGCCTGTCAAACAGGACCCCAAACACCTGAGCACATTCTGCAGACCTGCCCACTCTACCTGCAACTTCGAAAAGACACCTGGCCTAAAGAGCAAAGTGTGCAGAACAAGCTATGGAGAACCATGAAGGACCTGTAGCTGACATGCGAGTTCATAGAGGCAACCCACCTGATGGTCTGATCTGAGCATACGAAACTGAACACAAAGAAGAAGAAGAATTAAGTTGTACAGAGACACAGATTTATATTTAACCAGGTAACACATTTTACTCTTTCTGTTCCAAGCAACTCATTTTATATTTACATGATAATACTAAAGAAATCTGGCTAGATATTAATAACGTACAGCATTGTATATTTTATATACCAACCAGGTGTCTTCTGTTGATTCCAGGCCCATTTTAAAAAAAAAAAAGGGGGGGGGGGGAGAGAATAGATCGGATGCCCTCTAACAAGCATGTCGCAAGAGTCGACTAATTAGGGGTGTTGCCTTTAAAGTCGGAGTGCATCTGCCTGACAAGTATTGAACCAACAGTCTGCATTTAAATAAGCCAGACCTGTAAAACAGATGTGCATGGAAAAGGCAAATTCTTGAAAAAGACTAAAGTCCAGAAGAGGACGGACACCCAGAAATGTCTAAGAGATTTTACAGCTGATGAACACAGAGAAATAGAAGAAGATATACCAGGTGTGTACATATTGCCTAGTTGAAAGTAACACAGCTATATTTTTTTTTTTTTTTTTGCAAAGTTTTTCAAATTGGCTTTGGCTTTCTTTGGGTGAGCGGCCATGGTGTGGCAGTTAGATAACTCAAGTGCAGATCCAAAGGTCTTGGGTTCAGGTCGTGGTAGCTGGAATGAAAAAAAAAAGAAAAAAGAACCTCTGCTCCCAGGTCGAACCAGCCTTGAATGGGTACGAGATAAATTCCTGGAAAGTAAAGGCGGCCGACGTGATGGATGACCACATCACCCACCGAGTGCCGATCAATCAATGAAATATAGGTCTAGCCCTATGTGCCCAATAGGCTTGAAAAATGGTCACTTCCTTTTACTATAGCTCTCTTTGAACATCTGCCTCAAATTCCTAATCTGGTAGAGTTCAACAGGCTGAAAAACGTCTGGCGCTGATGTTGAGGCGTGTAATGCCGATATGTTTGAGCGGGTTACTGCCATGTTCAGGTATGGGCAGATCAAGAATGTCCGAGAACTCCTGAAGCTCTTGTAGCTCGAAGTGGAAATCGTCGATCAGTTCCTGGTGCTCTTCTGTGCTGCGCTGTAGTTTCAGCTGTGAAAGAATATGGCAGAGATAGATTAATATACCTATTTATTGTCACTACCAGAAATCAAAACACTTATCAAGTGAAAATACAAGTGTAACAGGCTGGTGGAATGTTTTTAGCCTGTTAATAATTTGGGTTTGGTCTTCTTGCGAACTAAAACTGGCAAGTTTGCAGATCGGGACTCTTTTGAAGTAGCCAGTGTTTAAAAAAAGCTGATATAAGGCCCAGTCTTTTTTAGGACGACATTTTTTGTTCTCTGAAGCCCCACCCTTGCTTTTGCCAGGGGCTGCAATATAGGCAGGCCATAAATATGGCCCATTGTCTGAACGCGGTTTCTGGGACCTCTCCACGGTGATCCTCACCTATATGGTGGCACTTTGTGTCATCGGGTGTTTATCGCTTGTGTGATGTTCTGGTGGGGTAGAAAGTCAGTCAGTCAGAAAAGGCTCACTTGGTTCTTTGCTCTTTGGTCTCGCCAGTCGCTCTAGGGAGACGTAGTCTTCCTACCATTGCGGAAGTGTACAAGCTTCCAAACGCAACGTATGTATAGTGGACTGAATCGAGCGAGATGAACTGGATCACTGGTTTTGTGTTTGGTGGTCGTTCGGTAGGTAGACTATGTTAGATGTAGATTTTATTAGAAAATTGTAGAAAACAACATACAAAAATGTTCCGTCCAAGAACAGGACACTGCAAGCTCAGCTACCACATGCAGAAAATAAAGATTGTACAGTCCCCGCAGTGTGCTTGTCAGAGAGGACCACAAACACACGAACACATTCTGTAGGCCTGTCCACTATCTACAACTACGAAAAGGAAACTGGCCTCAAGAGCAATGTTTAAGAGCAAGCTATGGGGAACTAGGAAGGACCTGCAGCAGCTGACATGCGAGTTCACAGAGATAACCAGCCTAACAGCCTGACCTGAGCATACGAAAAGGAACGCAAAGAAGAAGATATTAATAAGAGCTGTCTTCATATTATGGGCTTTTTCAGTACCAGAAGATTTCGCAGCAATCCCCGGGTGGGACAACAATCATGAATGTTAGACAGAGACAAAACACAACGGAATGGCGCTTAGGTAGCCAGATTTCCATGGTATGGTGTGAACAAAAGTAAAAAGTAAGAAAAACACATTATTCGTTAGCTAGACTCGCAAGGATTAACCGATAACACATACTGTGTTGTTTGGGACTCAAGGAGTTAGGAAGTGGGTTATATAAAGTAGTAGAGGCTATGTGATTAGGTCGGTAGTTAATAGAGAATCTCTGATACTAAAACGATTACATGACCTTTCAGCGAAGCCTAATGAAGTATGTACATCTCTTCGGCGTCAGGATAGTAGACATACTAGTCATGGAAACAGGGGTACCTTGGGGTGGCTCCTGCATGGTAAGACTGAGCCCACGTGGGAATCCCCAGTGGGCGATAGTGATAACATAATCAAGTAGTGGACAAAATGTAAGGTGGTTTTGTAGCTTGTTCGTTTTTAGAACTCACAAGGATTAACCGATAACACAGACTGTGTTGTTTGGGACTCAAGGAGTTAGGAAGTGTTTTTCCTCTTCTTTTTTTGTAGACCTCTTCTTCCTCATTTTCTTCCTTTTCTTTTATCATGTACACCATTTTATTGTTTGTCTTCTTTTACTTTCTATTCTTTAATCATTCACCTCTTCTTATTCCTATTCTTTCTTTTATCTTGTAACTTTTTTCATCCTCCTCCTCCTCCTCTTCTTCTTCTTCTTGTTTTTCCCTTCTTCTTTATCTCCTTTTCCTCCTCCTCCTCCTTCTTCTTCTTCTTCTTTTCTTCTTCTTCTTCTTCTTCTTCTCTTCTTCTTCTTCTTCTTCTTCTTCTTCTTCTTCTTCTTCTTCTTCTTCTTCTAACCCACATCCAGTGTGCAGACAACCTTTAAGTATTATGTGTGGCCTATTCTGTATAGTAAGTAACGAAATGACGCAGTAACTCAAAATAATGGAATTTTTTTAGGAAAAGTTCCACAATTTAAAGACAAGACATTGGGCAGATCCTGTGAGGAAACGAGCATACAACGACCAAACACCCACTGAAATGGGAAATAAATGGATTGAGGAAACGAGGACGTACAAGAGAAACCCTAAAATGAACATTGATGCGAGAGGCCAAAGCTGCTAGAATGCATTTCATCCATGATTTCAAAAGGAGAGAGCACGGTATAGAATGGAATAGTGGAATCGTCTGCGAGGCCTTGGTGACACATAATGACAGAACATGATAGTGATGAATTGCAATGTATTGCAGTTGCAACATTTATAAGTTTATTTAAACCATGTCATGCATCATCATCATCATCTCATCTCTATCTTTATCATCATTAGCGTCATCATCATCATCATCATCATTATCATCAGCAGCATCATCATCATCTACATCATCATCATCATCGTTGACGTCGTCATTACTGTCATTAACATCTTTAACGACATCGTCATCATCGTCGTCATCATCATTGTCGTCGTCATCATCATTATCATTATTATCATCATCTTCATCGGCATCATCGTCGTCGTCATCATCATCGTAGTCATCATCTTAATATTCATCATCATCATCATTGTCATCGTCGTCATCAGAGTCCAATAACACAACGTGTCGGTAGACACCAGTTGTTGTCTGGTCAGTTTCTTCCACTTCTGTCAGTAAGATGATTTCATGTTTGTATGTGTGGCGCCTGTCCATTAAGACAAATCAGGTTATGTTTCAGTATCACAACTGACGTCATTGCACACTGGGCAGCAGCCACTCCAAGGTACCTCTACTAATTGTTCTCAGGAGAAGCTGGTTACTGTGTCTCCTGTCTTGACCTCGAAGACGGCATTAGAAGTGTTTCACCAAGCTTACAGTCAAGTTCTGTACCCAAGTCTTTCTTGGTCTGCCTCTTCTCATGCTTATCCTCCCCCCAAGGGCTGTAGTGTTGTTCTAGAGAGGCCATTAGATGTTGTTACATAACTACACCGTTGTATTCTAAGAAAGTATTGAACAGTCTTGGGGAGAGGATGCAGCTTGGCTGAGTCACGACCGGCTCCAGCTGATGGGTCGCGCTGCTGACGTCACCTGGTCGGGCTAATGATGTGTTAACGCAGCAGTTCTCAAACACGGAAAAAAAAAAACACAAACTATTTTCGACTGTGGCCAGGGAAGACAAATTAAATTTCAACTTTTAAGTATCTACATGCCTTCTTTAATAATTTCACAATTTTTAGCCGACTTTTCTTGATTATTGTCGCAGCACACCTGGCATACGTTCACCTCGGTACCCAGTTTGAGAACGCATCGTTAGCTCGACCCGGTGACGTCAGCAGCATGACCCGTCATCTCCGGTTTGCCCATTATTATCACGCATACCTTGTGTAACTGTAAATTGTATAGTTTTAAGTAACATTATTGCCCGGCTCTCTAGCGTAGATGGCTAAACCGGACTGCGCGGTAACCGGGTGACGAACTCCTTGTGGTCCGGGTTCACTCCCGGGGGTAGTCAGAAAAGCCACATTTTCTCCCAGATTTACGGTACCTATCATGGAATCAAGGCCGAAGGGTTGCGATATCCATAGTACCGAGCCAAAGGGTTACCAACTCATGGTTTCTGGATATTTAAAAAAAAAGTGACATTACTGGGATTTTAACACATGCCAGTGAAATTGGGAGAACCACTGAAGACATCGAATAAAAGTTAAATGCATTTGAAAACAAATACTTTAGGCGTCTAAAAGAAACCATAAAACGAAGGCTGATTAGAGAGGCCAAGGGGGCTGGGCTAGATTTCATTCATGATAATGAAAGAATTGTACAGGATAGATCACAATGGAGGGCTAAACTACGAACCCAGTATGGCATATGATGGTACAACAGGACAATGATGATGATGATGATGATGATGATGATGATGATGATGATGATACCTTGTGTATATCATGTCGAATAGAAAGAAGTTGTCTTGCCAGTTGCTGATCTTGGCTTCGCATTTCCTGCTGAAAATAGAAGACTGAACACTTTTATTTGTGACCTACTATCAGAATATATTTTATTTTATTTCAAATGTAATCTAACCTTCAAATTTATCATTCTCAAAGATGGTTATCCTGAAATGTGTACTCAAATGTGTCAGTCTCAAATATTTTGACACCAAAATTGTCAGGTCATGAAATGCATCATACTCTTCCTCTTTCTTCTCTTTCTTCTTTTCTCTACTGCTGGAACGCCTCACGTAGTTAGGGCAGGAAGAGATATTTAAAACGGGCCCTTCCGTTCTCTTCGTAAATAGTTTTCAGTGTGTCCGACATTCCCGTGGTCCATATTCTGCGTGGTCGACCTCTGGATCTGTTACCACTGTATCTGTGTAATATAATCATCATACTACCGTACTAAACAAATGTAAATATAAAAAAAAAAAAAGATTTAAAACCGAACGAAAAGTATATTAGCAAAGCTTCACAATATAACAAACACAAACAAAACGTGAACGTTGCGAATATGGAGCCTTCATGAGCACATACAAATCAAACAATACCAGACAAATACACAAAATCACTTAGCTGGTATCTCGAAGCGTATAATGCAGTATAAATGTTCCACATTCTACAAATGTGTTATGCTCTGCAAATATATCACATTCCCTAAATGTGCCACACTTAGTAAATGTGCCAAACTCAGTAAATGTGCCACACTTAGTAAATGTGCCACACTCAGTAAATGTGCCACACTCAGTAAATGTGCCACACTCAGTAAATATGCCACACTCAGTAAATGTGCCACACTCAGTAAATGTGCCACACTCAGTAAATGTGCCACACTCAGTAAATGTGCCATAGTTAGTAAATGTGCCACACTCAGTAAATGTGCCACACTCAGTAAATGTGCCACACTCAGTAAATATGCCACACTCAGTAAATGTGCCACACTCAGTAAATGTGCCACAGTTAGTAAATGTGCCAAACTCAGTAAATGTGCCACAGTTAGTAAATGTGCAACACTCAGTAAATGTGCCACACTCAGTAAATGTGCCACACTCAGTAAATATGCCATACACTCCATTCTCTACAACGCTTACGCATTGGACACTGCAGACTCGGCAAACTCTCATAAAAATTAGATCAGTGTCTTGACACTGAACAGACTCCAGAACATATCTTGCAAGACTGTCCTCTCCTGGCGGAGCTGCAAATCAACATGTGGCCATGCCCAGTAGAACTGACAACTAAGCCTTGGGGAAACCTAAGAGATCATGAGATGACATCCCAGTTTATGGCCCAACTTCAAATTTAAGCGCACCTGACAAGACACAACAAAATTATGCACGGCAATTAACTGTGCCATGTGTTGGTGGTGCTCACATTATTTAATATAATTGTGTCGTATTTGGCAGAGCTTCTAGAAATTGCTGCGGTTCTTTTCTGTTACTTCACAACATCACACCAGCTTCGAGATTTGGTAGGGAAATTCACTGACTGTCCCATAGTATAGGGGAGCTAGGGTTAGGGCTAGTGTTCAATGAATAGCAACTACTACTAAGACTAACCCTAATTCCCCTATAGGCCTACAATGGGACGGTCTGGGGGTTTCCCTACCAAATCTCGAAGCCGGCGTGATGTGGAGAAATAACAGAAAAGGACCTTTGCTGCTGCTGGTTTCTCATCTGCAGAACGTCTCACCGAGTAAATGGGTGTTAATTTTTCAGTAATTGTCAAATGCTATGTATACTTAACCCTGCTGCTTGGTGCAGAGACCCAGACAATTAACAAACAATTAGAAAACCATATTGAGTCTGCAGATGTGGCTTTACGGAAGAATTGGTCGTATTTCGTGGAAACAAAAATGATCAAATACAGAGGTTCTGACAAGACTTTAAAGGAAAGAGCTGCTGATGGAGATAAAACAGAGGCTGGAAAAAAATTTCTGCCACATAATAAACATACTATAAAACACATATTGAGGAGAAAGTTGAAGATAAGCGAGCAAGAGACACACAGCGACATAAATGGGAATATAATAATCAAGAGATGAAAAATAGTAATCTAAGAGAGTATAAATCAAGGGCGAAAGACACAGCCTGTCGGAGATATATTGCAGCCAACCTTCGCTTGTGGAGACGCTACCCGACTGACGCAATCTTAGAATAGGAAATAATTAGTTACATAATTAAGGCGATATTTGCAATAACAGAGTTGCCCTGGCATAGCGGTTAGACGCTCGCGTGCGGATCGGAAGTCATGGGTTCGCTGCCTGGCGGAGCCGGAACTTTTTCCAAAAAAATGACCTTGACTCCCAGGTCGACGACCCAGCCTTGAATGGGTGCCGGGTGCAGTCTCTGGGGAAGTAAAAGCGGTTGGTGTGATGCTGACCACATCACCCATCTTGTACCGATTGGTCTATAAAAATATAGGTCTAGCCCTATATGCCCTATACGCCTAAAGGCATGGAAAAGGGACATTTACTTTACTTGCAATAATAACGATACACCAACGAAATATGCACCTACCAGCTGAATCTTCAACCACTCTAAGGCTCTGTCAATCCTGTGCTTTCTATCCAAAGTTAGGCTACCGTCAGTGATGTCAGAGTTCATGTTTGATTTCCCCCGCGGAAAGTTCTGTGACTCGAGATACTGCTGTCTCCACAACATGATGCTGGGTCTTCTAGCACTGAGGTGTAGTTTATCTGTGGTTTCTTTCAATCGTCTAAAATACGACAGATAAGCTGACGGACTATCGTCTGCGCCAACGTCTCCATCACTGAGCTCATTTTCTGATAAAGACCCCGTTGATTCGTTGCTCATTCTTCTAGAGAAGTAAGCACTTAGCTTGGAGGCTGTGAACTTGGAGAACATGTTTCCTAGGTTACTGTCAGTGGGGCTGTTGTTTTCGCTGTTGCTTTTGTCCGGGGTCTCATCGGAATCCGGGCTTGAGGCTATGGACTGAGAAACTAAAACAGGAGATGCTCCATGTATGTTTGATGGTGAATTTTGAGGATTTGGAGACGTCGGACTTTTAACTTCGTGAACAGTTTTTGGAAAAGATGCTTGTTGCCGCCTTCGATAACAAAATGTGCCGTTCAGTTGCGGGGATGGTGTAGAAGGTAGCGCTGTGTTTAAGGGTAAGGTGATTTGGAGACGATCAGATGCTTCTCGAATGCTAGCCACGCTGTTTGAATCAACCTGTTTTGGTGAGTTTACATTGCTTATTTGAGTCCCGTTGAAAGCACCTGATATATCGTTGAAAGCTGTAGAAATTTGATTTAGCTGCTGTATTTCGGAACTTTTGGCATCTTGTGAGACAGTGCTAACAGAATTTAGACCTTGTTGTTTCCAAAAGTTTTCGTCTGGACACTTGCTATTCTCGCTATCTAAGATGGTTATTGAATGGTTCGGTGAGTTTTCCAACACGGCAAAGCGAGTTTCCGGAAGTAGCTTCACTAAAGGAATTTTTATCAACTTCGACGGCACCTGATTTTTTGAACCCGTAACTGGAAGCCATAATGATGTTTTAAAATCTGAAACCGAGCTAGGATTTCTGGCGTTTCGGGCGATTTCTGAGACTTTACAGATTATTTCGCCATCCTGGCAAGTCTTGTTTGTCTGTAGAATGTCTTTATAACACACAGAGTTTTCTTTACCACTGCCCTCTGTTCCATCTTGGAGTTTTGCAAAGTTGATGGCATCGAGATCGTCGCTGTCGTTTTCTGTGATAATCGACAGGGGCCTCTTTTGTCCTTTTTTGGAAGCGCGATTGGGATCGCCTTGCCGGATAAACACCGTCACTTCCGACATGTTGACAATATGGCGGTCACAGAGGTGGCTGTTTGTGTGAATACTAAGTCATTCACTTAAATATTAGTCAAACATGTGAATACAGTCTTTTAATGTGTGATTAGTTAGACTGTCCCAGTTTCCTGTCGAAAGAAAAATAGTGATTTTTTTTTTTTCAAAATGGTAAATCTTAGCTAAATCAGAAGAAAGTAGCAAAATGACACATACGGAATAAAAATAATAATAATAAAGATGAATATGTAGATACAGTTAAAGTTGAGTTAAGTTTCAAGATCCGACATCACAAAAGTCGGGACATTCCCACATGTGCTCCGTCCCTATCTTCAGCAGCCAGCGAAGAGTTCCAACTCCCATGGTACCAATAGCAGTCTGATTGTGTGTATGAATTGCTTTCCCTCCGAGGGTAGTGTCAACCAGATCTCCTGGTCACTCCAAGTTGCACTATTCTCTTCAGACCATGATAATGTCACTGTTTACTGGCTCCCATAGGGCCTTGGCAATATCTAGCTTGCCAAACATTGGTTTACCATATAATTAAAGTAAGAGCATTCACATAACTTTGGGGGGGGGGGGGGGGAGGGGAGGAAGCTGCATGGTCTCCGGGCATGGTATCCACTCGAGTGCTGAAGGTCTCAGGTTCAGGTTCCGGTGAAGGCTGGGATTTTTTCCACGTGGACTTCTAGTAATTTCCCCTGGTCTCCGGGTAGTAAGATCAGACGCCCGTGTGTATTGTTGCGCAAGTAAAAAAAAATCCCCTTGGCATTTGGCAATCGAAAATAGGAGCCTAACAGTGCTGCCCGGGCACAATATGAAATTAAAAATCTACCCAAAGTATTTCAGGATCCTCGCCAGTGCTACAGAGTTTGTGCACTGTGCGCAGAGATTTTTCGGACTCAGGCTTGAGTTAGAAGTAGAACGGTGCACTTATGGGTTACTGCCCTTGTGCCAGGATGTTGATACGTCGTTTAAACCTAAACCTAGTACTCATCTATTTACGGCTCTGTGGCTTCAAGGTCAGTGAAATCGTTTCACAATGCTATACTCCACGGCTCCCAGGTCTCGATTCCAGCGATGGGCGGTTTAGATAAAGACAGTTGTCGTGGCTTTCCTACAGTGATACGAGAGTCGCACAGTGGAAAAGTTCGAGGTATCACCGTGTAACATTACCAAAGTTCGGTCAAAATGGACGCTAGGCACGATCACTGTTTTGAGCATTTGTAGACTGAAAGAATATAGTTTCGTCACCCAGCTTCTGAGTTGAGTGCATGGCGTGACACTTTGAGCTGCTGATTTCATTTGGACTGTTTTTCTACTGTGGCCAACGTGGTGGTGTGAATTGTAGATTCAGAAAATGGCGCGATGCCTGTTGCCGCAATATTGGTGGTGCCTTTATGTGATTAAAATTGATCGCGTGTGCAACTGCTGATCTGTTGGTAACTGCTGCAACTATCCATGATGAACTGCTTTTCTAATGTCGGATTGTTTGTGTTAGCACTTCGGATGGCTACCGTATGCTTTTAATGCATGTGTATGCTAGTGCATATGCTGAGACAGCAGTCTGTCAATCTTTCCACAAGGGACTGTGATAAACATTCTGTGTGTTTTTCGTTGGCACAGGAGCGGAGCAACTATGGGGTGACCCGTTTGCTATGAAGCTGAAACTTAGATCATCAGATGTAGTTAGCACTACAGTCAACCTCCAATGTGTAGTCGGTACAATTTAAAAAAAAAAAAAAAAAACACACGCATAAACACACACATTTAACACAAAATAGAGGATCGTTTTCATCATCTTCAAGCGTGTTGGGTACCAGGCCATGTGAAATAAAAACATGATGCCTGTAAATAAGCCTTTTTTCTTCTGTATGTTCTGACTAAACGCAGGAAATGCAATGGCAAACTGGCACGCCAAATAAGGCAAGCCACACAAAATACGTTGTGTGGGACGGAAAGAGCTCTTAATTATATTTTATACGTAATAAGTTAATCATAGTCATACCGCCTGTGGCTAAATCTGTAACAGAACAATTGTACAGCTGACCTCCCTGAACTTAACCGCAGACAATCTTATTATACTGAAATCTAATCGCAAAAAATTTGCGAAGTAATTATTGTACGTTTTGTCACTGTTTGTAAAAGCTCTTATTATAAAGTTCGTGCGTCAATAAATAATTATCTTTTAGGAATGTACGCAAATATCTCTCGAGATATTTTGTCCACGAATTTAACAAAGTCTATTATTCGTTGTCATAAAGAAAGGATTATGTATACACCGGGGGATGAAAAAGAAACCCTGCATAGCAAAACAAAATAAAGCAAACTTTTATGAGAGTTGAAAGCTTGTACTTGCGACAAAACTGCAAAGTGTGGGTGTCGGCAAATATTCGATTTAAAGAAAAAGGAAGTGCGAATTAGCCAGTTTTATGCCGGAAAGGATCACGATAATTTATTCTAATGCTTAACAGTTTCATCTAAAAATTCAGAGTTACTTTATTAATGGTCGTATCGCTTGCTTATCTCACCTCTCTAGGCAACTTCCTGAGCAGTTCACACATTTTGCAACAACATGCTCATACAAATCTGTCTACTGTACAAGCGGGTTTTTAGAGATTTTGCGACATATATGTGCAGTTATGTATAGTTTGTTTTGTAGCAAGCACAGCTTCTCTGTGGTGCATATCATATGTGCGGCGACCATTTTTAAACTGTTATTATGACGTCAAAGTTTTCGTTAGCACCGTAATGCTTCTAGTCGTGGGAGAGGCGCAAAGTTAAATAGAATTATTTGTGAGGATCTGATCAATGACTGTGACATTTTTTAAAAAAAAATGTAGGAGAAAACTGTTCCGATACAAGTGTTTTAAAAAAAAAAGACATTTTCCGTCTTACTTCAAGTTTGGTTTAATTTTAAACAAAACAATGTCAGTGTTAATGTTTACCACCGCTTATATTTTTAATTACATATGTGCTGTCTTAGTACATGTGCCCGCTGAGCACTTGCTCAGGGCATAGGGGCCCCACGAGCAAACGGTCCCCACGAGCAGAGAGCACCCACGAGCAAAGGGCCCTCGTGAGCAAAGGGCCCCCACGAGCGAAAGGCTCACACGAGCAAAGGACCCCCACGAGCATAGGCTCCCACGTTAATCTGTGTATATCAAGTGACCATTTACATTTCATTCCTGTGAATGGTTGTTATTGGGAACCCTGTTTGCTGTTTGAAAGTGGGGAAGGGGGAGGGCCAGGGAGCCGCACCAAAATCTTTTAAGTTCCTAAGGCATCCAAATGTCTAAATCCGGCCCTGCTGCCAGCTCACGCAATCCTGTTGGAGATTCGTTAATAATTTCTACCACGTATTGCCTTTCAGCCTAGCTGATGCTACGCCCTTGGTGGTTTGAGAATATACCAGTTTGGTTTGAAGAAGAAGAAGAAGAAGAAGAAGAAGAAGAAGAAGAAGAAGAAGAAGAAGAAGAAGAAGAAGAAGAAGAAGAAGAAGAAGAAGAAGAAGAAGAAGAAGAAGAAGAAGAAGAAGAAGACAACAACAACAACAACAACAACAACAACAAAACGAAAGAAGATGATAACGATGATTATAATGATGAGGACGATGATAATGACACCGATTGCGTTGTTGTTGAGGATGACGATGACGACGACTGACGTTTAAAATAAACTGAATTCAAAGTGCATTCCTCTCATTATTCTCAATGTTTATCTTAAATTTAAAAAAATATAAACCACCCCACCTCGTGCGGGTTCTATAAATACACTTGCCAGGTAACCCGTCTGTGCTCCTCTCCGATTTCTCCACTTGATGATGTCACCGGTAATGACAAACAAAACATAATCGAGCACGGGAAGACTGACATCTTTAAATGTTCAGCCATGCCGAACCGATTTACTTCCAACTTGCATGTCACTGTTACATTCTTCAGGCTAAACTACGACGGTTGGCGATGTATTGAAAGCCAATCTGGCATGTGATGAGAAAAAAATTGCACATGTTTAAGGTGCATTCATTGAAAAAGTTACAGGCCAAACCAGTGATTCATATTTAATCAAGT